TATATATATATATATATATGATAAAATTACCATCTTAACGTTTTATTGCTAATTTTATTGTCCAAAAAAATTTTTTTAATTTGTTATTATTTTTTGAGACAGAGAGAGACAGAGCATGAACGGGGAGGGTCAGAGAGGGAGACACAGAATCTGAAACAGGCTCCAGGCTTCTGAGCTGTCAGCACAGAGCCCGGCAGGCCTGGGAACTCACGGACCATGAGATCATGACCTGAGCCCGAAGTAGGCAAAGCAGCGACTGAGCCACCCAGGTGCCCCATGCTTAATTTTTTTAAAAGTTTATTTTATTTTAGGGGCCTGGGTGGCTCCAGTCAATTAAGCATCCACGACTTTGGCTTAGATCATGATCTCAAGTTCTGTGATCTGAGTTCAAGTCCCAGCATCAGGCTCTGTGCTGCAGGCCTGAGCCTGGAGCCATGTTTGAATTCTGTGTCTCCCTCTACTCTTTGCCTAATCCCAGGCCACAGAGACTTTCCTATGTTTTTTTCTAAAAAATATATTGGGGCGCCTGGGTGGCGCAGTCGGTTAAGCGTCCGACTTCAGCCAGGTCACGATCTCGCGGTCCGGGAGTTCGAGCCCCGCGTCAGGCTCTGGGCTGATGGCTCAGAGCCTGGAGCCTGTTTCCGATTCTGTGTCTCCCTCTCTCTCTGCCCCTCCCCCGTTCATGCTCTCTCTCTGTCCCAAAAATAAATAAACGTTGAAAAAAAATTTTTTTAAATATACAGGTTTATGCTTTTTGTTTTACATCTGTGATCTATTTTGCGTTAATTTTTCTACAATGTGTGATGTTTCAATGGAGGTTCTATTTTGTTTTGCATATGGATGTCCAGTTGTTCCAACAACATTTCTTGAAAAGAAATTCTTGCTCCACTGAATTGTCTTTGCACCTTTGTCAATCATTAATTGGCCTTATTTTTGTGAGTATATTCTAGGTTCTCTATTCTGTTCCACTGATCTGTGTGTCTAACTCTCTGAAAGTACACTGTCCTGATTAACTTGATTCTAAGTCTTAAAATAAGGTAGTGATCCTTCCAACTTTACTATTTTTCAATACTGCTTTCAGCATTCCGGTTCCTTTGCCTTTGCATTTCAACATAAATTTGTCTGTATTTACAAAACAAATCTTGTTGGGAATTTGATAGGAATTGCACTGAGTCTATAGATCAGTTTAGGGAGAAATTACATCTTTACTAAGTTGTGCCTACCAATTCATGGACACGGTAGTCTCTGTTTATTTATATCTTCCTAATTTCTTTCATCAGTATAGTTTTTAGCATACAAATTCTATA